CTTAAATTGAGAGCTTTCGCTGCCTCCAGCACCTTTCCCTGATGGCTTCCCCTCATGGCCTCACGTGGGGCCCAGCGACCTCTTCCAGGTACATCATGTTGCATCCCCTGTGCCCAGGAGATGTGGGGTGCTTGCGACAAGTGCGGCGGCCAGAAGAAGCGCTACCGCCATGCCGCTCGGCAACGCAGTTGGGCGTTTTGCGTTCGAGATGGAAAAAACACCGCAAGCCCCAAACCCTTTATCCCCTGCTGTGGATGTTCTGCTGTTGCCATGCGCGGTGCAGCTTTAGGACCCCGTTTTCAGAACTCGCCCGGAGCCCTGAGAGCCCTGAGAGCCCTGAGGTCAGAATCCATGCAGATTGCGGCGGGCGCGTTTGCGAGCAGAAGTTCGCCGAGGAGCGCCGAAGCCACGAAGACAAGCGAAGCGATGGCAATCAACGTGCGCTTCGCAGTAGAGCGCAGTCGAAGTTACCGAAAGTTGGTCCTTGGCCTCGGCTGACTCAAGTCGGCCAATGCCAAACTCAGACACCCAGGAGCTGTAGTAAAGTCGTGACAACAGCCCGGCCACGATCTGACAAGGTGCAGTGACTGCAGCTCGGGCTATAGGATTCCTTACAGTGTTTCCAGTGAATTAGAGCTCTCGACCTTCATCCCGCTGAGACCACGATGTGGCCGGTTGTATTCGGCATGTTGCCTGTGCTCCATCAATGCAGCCCGACACCCTTGTGAGGAGATTGCCGCCTGCCCGCGCCAATGCCACACGCCGACCTACTGCCTTTTGATTGCAAGTAGCGTTCGAGGTCCCTGCCATGTCAGGCCCTGTCAGGCAGCTCCGCTTTTTGCAGGCTTGTGGGAAGAGTGATGAATGCTTATGTTGAGTGATGAACTGATTCCAGAGGAGGATGCCCATGTCTAAAGGGATGCTGCTGAGACGGTCATTAGACCTTTGCCTCCCTGCAGGCTCTTGGGAGGATTGGCGGAGCTGGGGCGACTGCAGCACCAGTTGCGGCGACCATGGTGTGCGGACGCGCGTGCGCTACCTGAAGGTGCGCTTGGCCGTTTCTAAGGCTACCGATGGTATCAGATGGTTGCAAGATGCGACAAGATGCTACTAGGAAACGTTCAGGATTAGGGGGGGGGGGGGGGGGCTTGCAGCTTCGGCGGGTTTGGGATTTCAGGATGGTACACTTCCGTTCTGGCATGACGTCGTCAGGGCTTGTATGTACGTTGCGGCGTTCAGTTCATCTATGGTGAGCATGTCAGGGAAATACGGAAATTATGTTCAGGAGCTTTGCGCTATAGGTTCTCTTCGAGCAGAGACATGTGGAGAGAATGGAAGATTTCTGACCGAGTTCCTGCACACTAGCCATCACTCGCCGCAGTAGTGCGGGCATGTTGTGTGAACATCTGTATGCCTTCTACCTGTGTGCTGTGGAAAACTGCAGGGCTGGCAAGGTGGGTCTACAAGGTTCCAGACCAAGCACACGAGATTCACTAGATCACAAATTCATCGAGACTCGCATCGTCTTGGCACACTGTTCTTGTGCTTGTTGTCGTAGACACAATCCTGCAAGCATGCTGCCCATACCTTTCTCGCGCCAGTCGCACTCTCAGCCAGCGGAAGAAAGCTATCCCGTCAACACAGCGGATCTTCAATCCATGCAAGGCCCGGCCCTTAGAAACCAGCAGCCAGAGAGATGCTGAAGCCACAGCACCACAAGTCGAGGCACCAAGCCATTGACGAAGTTTCTACTTGAGCCTTCCTGCCCAGACCCCTCGAACCCATGACCCCGGCGCTTGTGGGTTCGAGAGTTCGAGCTTCATGGACTTGTTGGCATCAAGGCTGCTTCTACGATCTCATGCGTTGGTTCGACAACTTGCCCAAAAGCTTCAACTTAGCCCCTCAGAGTGCCCAAGGCGGACTTCAAGCAGAACTCTTGAACTTCAACTTTTAAACGACCCCCCCCCCCCCCCCCCCCCCCGCCCATACCTGCAGAGTCTGGCACCACTGCCTGCTTCCCTGCGTGAGAAATGATTCTAGTCTAGCTTCCTCAACCACAACCACCTGTTTGATTCCATCGCATTCTAAATCGCTGGACACCAAGTTTTTTAAAGGCTTGCATAAAGCAAGACAAAGCCATTAAGGCCTGGACGCTCTGGAGCAGAAGTTCCATGAACTCAAGCACCGAGCCCATAGCGCCGCTTCTGCCCGCAAACAGACGAGGGAGCGAGCGCAAGAGAGAGAGAGAGAGACTCCGCAGAGAAGAAGGAAGAAGTTCGGAAGAAGACAAAAAGTGCGAGAGCGGGCTCTGAGGGTTTAGGCTGGATCGAGAGGTCCGTTCTTGAGAAGGAGGCTAGACGAGGTGCGCAGCCAGAATCTTCCAACTATGGTCGGTCACGAAGTTACATGATCTCATGCTGCGTCGCACAAGCCATGTGAAGTGGCAGCTCAGGTGGAGCAGCACCGCCTCACCGAATTGGGTGCTGCCTTCGGCCTGGGTTCCCTGAGCCCCTCGGCGCTATGAAGCCTCCGTAAATCGATTGGTTGGGGTTCGAGAGTTTAGGGAACGGAGTTGGCGCAGTTCTGGCGTTTGCCCTTCTTTGTTCGTGGTTTCCGAATCTTTGGCTTCAGAGGTCGAGGGTCCTTACGTGCCTCAGGGTATGTTACGCCTTGCCAGCCACAAAGGCCTTGATCCTTCAGCCTTGCACGCCATGTACAGTAGGCCTGGGATGTCATCAACGAACCAACCGACAGAGCAAGGGCGCATCGCCGCGACAAGAGGAGGTCCTTCCTGATTTAAGAGCTGTGATCTCGTCGCTATCAAGGCTTTATGGCTGTGATGGCCATGGGCCAGCGACTCTCCAGAGGGCAAGGTGACGAGAGGCCTTTGGTTTCGGTGCAAGGAAAGTGCTGACTTTGAGGGGTGTCCAGGAGATTTTGCAAGCTGCCAGCAAGAGCAAGGCAGGTTTCAAGTGTCAGGTTTGTGGGCTGCAAGCTGCGCGTTCACTGGCGGGAAGTCCCTCCCGATGTTTTGCTGCTGAATCGGATCGAAGCGGTATGTCCTGTCGCCATCCTTCAGACCGAGACCCGTAGTCTCTACGGTATTAAGACAGTGCCTGCGTTCAGTAGACTTAGTGACTTAGTAGACGCTGCGAGGCCGCTTAGCCTCCATGCTCCCGTCAACCATCGCTACGAGCCGGCGCCATCCGATGAGCCGCTGTAGTGTGTCAATGGGCCTTAAACGAGGAGGATCCAAGTAATTGCTGAGGAGGGCTCCGCTGATTAACACAGTTGAGCTGCCGGTCCATTGAAGCGGCTTAGCCGCCCCGATAATCTGGGGCCTGCAAAGATGCGAATCTGGCCCGCCGGAATGCAAGGCTAGGTAGCTTCCAGTCTCTCCGACTTGCCCTTGGTCGACTTTCCATAAACGCCCACCATCGAAAAGTTGGCAATTAGTGCGGTGCCGTTATCCAGGAATTTTTAGGGGGCATGCCGAAGAGATGTCCTTCCGCTTCTGCGACTTTGGGTTTGGGATGCGCTGCATGAGATTTGGAGGGGATGTAGTCGGAGTCGTCTCTCCTTTGACTCTTTGCAGTGTTTTGCCGATAAAAGTCAGGCACGAGAGGCTGGAACTCAAGCTCCAACAAAATTGCTCACCACACCTCGGCGTCCTTGAGGCAACTTACAATGCGCTGCTGACAGAATGTTCGACTAGAGTGACTAGAATGGGAAGGAACACCTACTGAGCATCTTTAGGCAAGCATCGTGCGGTTGCCTTGATAATTTCAGGGTTCTCACTGTGGCAGCAGCCGTGGACCAAAGTGTTCGCGAATGCCATGACCCTGCGCCGCATATGGAACGAAGAAAGCGCAGAAAGGCTGTCCGATACAGATACAAGTTTGTGTGTGTGTGTGTGTGTATATATATATATATGTATGTGTGTGTGTGTGCGTATACACAGACTTTTACATACGTGCAATGCGCACATCTAGGATCCAAAGGTCTGATGTGGGATCTGGCGTGCCGCTCCATATGCGGCAAAGCAGTCAAAGCGATTTCAGAATGGGTTTTCGCACGAACTTTGCCAACCCTGCGCTCAAGACACGAAGCGCCTAAAGCACCTTACAGCTGCCTTTGAGGATCGGTCGATAGCACCCCAACCTCTGACAACTTCTGGCAACACAATTCAAGAAACAGATAGTGCTGGAACTAGCTACAACGAATCTACAACAATTCTGGCTTGTTTCGGAGATATTCTGGCTTCTGACTTACACAAGAGTTCCTTTGAGACCCCTCCTTACACCCTACCTCATTGCACCCCCCCAAAGCCATCGAAAACCCTCAAGCTCCCTGGAGCCCATCTGGAGTCCGAATCTCTGCCGCCCCCACGGCGCGAAGCGCCCTGGGAGCGCCAGACGCCGTGCTCGGCGCGAGCCGGAACTTAGCTGCCACGCTTGGAGAAATGGTCGCCATATTGCTTCCTTTAAGCTTGAGTGCATTGGATGGGTGTAGTTCCTCTCTACATCGATCCCGACACCGTCTTTGTTGTTGCGCACGTCGGATGTCAACAGATGCAGTAGTTCCAATTTGTCACGAAGATCGTATTGTCCGACCCGGTGCCACCTTCGGCCGGTAAGATGTTAAGGCAATTAAGGTGCGCGGGAATGCTCGAGTCGTTCCTGCCAGCTCATTCAGAACAGAAGACCTGCTGCCAGGATCAGCCGGAGCTGAGCACCGAGGAAGGGATGCATGCGGAACTGTAGAGTTGAGGGTCCGGCGTGCAAGCCGATGCACAGATTGCGAAGTGATCTTCCGTCTGTTCGGAGGTGCCGCAGGAAGGGCGAGGTTCAGTGGTCTGGGCTGGTGCTGGTTTGTTTTGGTCGGGAAGCTTCGATGGGGATAGAAAAACGAACAGGGTCGCTGCCGTTCTCCTCGCATGCTGCAGGACTCGTAGTCCAGGGTTAGGATTCCGCATCGAATCACCGATTAGGGTGATAGACATGCCAAGGCCGAACATCGCCAACACTCAGGTTTCGATCCGTGACCCGTGACCTCAAACCGAACCCACAACCGAAGGCTGAACACCTAGCCGACAGACAGGAGCGCTCCATTGCGGTCGACTGGCTGGTTGAGGCGAGCTGCCTCGGTGGCTTTTGTTCCCATTGCGCCCCCCAATTTGAAGAACTGGGCACTGCAGGTTCCCCATTGGATTGACCCGAGACTCCCCCCCGGATCAGGTGCAGACGAGGGGGCGGCTGAGGACTCGGAAGAGCGTGGTAGCCCTTTGTAACCCTAAACATCCGAAACCCTTCACTTATAAACACGAAATACAAACCTGATAAGCCCTGAGCAAAATCCCAAACCCTGCCTGGGCCTTCAGAAGGCTTGCGATGTAATCTGGGGAGGAGGGTATCCCAGTTGAGGCGCTTGTGCAAACCTCCTTCTGCGCCTCCGAGCCTCAGGACTGCGACGATCTTCCTTGCTGTGAGCCTCATCGATGGGTACCTTGCATTGAAAGAGGCAGTGTCCCCAGGGGATACCTGAGCTAAGGGGTCGGAACATCTTAGCTGCGACATGCAGTGCAGCTGGAAGCAGTCACCAGACCGTATATGCGCCTCACGTCCCAAACGCCTTCTTTCTGCGTCTCTGTTGCCGGTACCAGTATCTGTCTTTATCCGCTCATGCGCTTTCTCTACGGTCTCAGATTTCGCTCGTGAAGACCTCGACGGCTAATTAGACTCAATAGTCACAGCCAGAGAGTGTGCCATAGCAGCAATCTGGGTTTGACTTGAGTAGAAGAAAAACTAACAAGCTGGAGCTTCCAGTTGCGCTTATTTTCAGGCGACGCAGATGCTGCCGCACTGTATAGTCTGATTCTAGCGGCTGCGATATTATAAGCCCTATAAGCAACAAAAGCAAGTGGTTCAAGAGTTTGCTCTGCACGGTAGCATGGCCACATGAACACTGGTCAACAACACTTTCTGATTCAAGCTCGCCAAAGTCGAGACCGACTCCACAGACAACTCAAAAGTTCGGCCCCGAATGTGGAGAAACTGCGGCCAGGTGAAGCGTGACTCGCTCCAGCTGCTAGTTGTAGCTGCTCTCTTTGCGGCTGCGAAGTTCGAGGTGCGAAGTTAAGCAGGGGGGTGGGGGCGGGGGGGCGGGGGGGGGGGGGTGTGTAGCCAGAGATTTGGGCAAGTTTGGCTTCCCTTCGTACGATTAGGTGAACGAGTGGCTGCCATCTCAAGAAAGGTTGACCCTGCCGTGTGTGTGTGTGTGTGGCTGCGCAAAACATATTGTGCTTTTAGCTGGATTTTTGGGTCCACTGTTGACATCGCATGCGCAGCACTCCCCGATGAGGCTTTGTAAGGTTTGTAATTCACAGCCGGCAACTGCCAGGGCTTGCGTGGTTTAGCTGTTTTGAATCAGGCGCATGGTGCATCTCCGGTTTGCGAACGCAGGAGATACAGCCCCTTCAATTGCGCGATCTGGTCACCCTCACGCAGCAGGCTCTCTGCAGCTTCTTCTTTTTGTTGGTGCTTGTATCTGCTTTAGCCACACCTGCAACCGCATCTGACATGTCCGACCCACATCCCCGCTTTGCCAGACCTGCTCCAAGCAAGACATTCGGGCCATGGAGGCTGGAGTGGTTCGTGAGAGGGACCGCATATGTGCTTTCTCTCCATACTCAAAAAGGCGCTTTTCAACAGGAGTCAAGGGGGCATATTCTCTGGTCAGTGGAGGCAAAAGAAGGACGCTCGTGGTGCTCTCACCAGCAACAACATAAAGCTGTTGCCTGGTTCGGGTGCTGCAAGCAATCTCCACTGTTGTCTACCTGGCAAAGCATGTGCCTACTAGCCCTCGTAAATCTTCAACGAGATTTGCTCTAAGGTTCAGGAAATTGAGGAAGATCAGGGCTCTCAGCCCTTTGGAAAGGCTAAGCTGTTGACCACTGTGGAGTTCCGGCTTTGCCGGCCCACGGCGGCCCACTTTGCAGATAGGCCGGGCGCCCTGGATGGCCCTGGCACGGTGATGGAGTTGGGCTTCTGTCGACATTCGAGATCCCATCCACGTAGGGCTCATTCATGAAGCTTTTGCTCTAGAATTGGGGATGGGAGCTGCCCTTATCTCTCCTGGATCCTGCTCCGGCAACATCCGAGGTACTTGCAGACTCATGGCTGCGAAGAGGTCGCAGTCTAGTGTGCTTCAGCTTCTCATGCATGTCAGTCCAGGGTGCTAATCTGGCAGCAAGGGATTAAAGCAAAGCTTGATGCCCTAAACCCTCAAGCCTAAACTGCCGAGGCTTGTTCGGAACCTGTTGCTTGCGTAGCACTATGTAACCCCTCTCTTCAGGTAGGATTAGCTTCCACACACTCAAACGCAGTGTGTGCATGTATCAGTAGATATATGTGTGCATATATGCATGTGAAGCTGTGTATACCTGAATACAGAGTTTAGAATATGCACACAGGCTGCATATATGTACATGATTGTACACGTGTATCCTCTCCTCTTCCCGCTTGTAAGCCTTCCATCTGCGGAGGGTTGGGCCCGGAGTCTCAAAGGCCAAGACCCGGCCAGGTCCAGGGGGCCGTCGTCGCGTATCTCCTGCAGCTGGCCCTGATGGACTTCGGCATGCTGAGGCCTTTCGTGGGGCAGGGGGGGTGGGGTGAGTACAGCTCGTGTGGCTCGTAGGTGCCCGTTTGTAAGGAAGCAAGACATGGCAGCAAGTCTCAAGCACTCTAAGTGCTCTAAAATGGGCACGTACGATGCCTTTGCGTGGCCCTTAGACATTAACTCAGACAAATCCCAGGTGGAACTTGTCCCAACCCTGAGAGGTACACGCCATCGGAACAGGTGACTGCTGCCGCCATGATCAGCTCCAGGTCGGGGGGGAGCGGCTCAGGGCCTGGGATCTTCGGGGCTTCGAGCGGCGAGCCACTTCTGTGTGGTGAGGCTTAAGCAGAGCAGTTTTGTTCCACCCTCAGAAGAAGTCGTGGAGACATAGGCTTTGTTCAGCTCCCAGGCTATTGTCGGAGATTTGTGCACAGAGTATTCCTGGAGTCCCCTCGCATCTGTGCACAACCAGCTCCCAGCTCATGGGGCTTGAGATTTGATTTAGGCAGGGCTCTATGTGCTCGAAATGCGCATGAAATGGGCACCATGCAGCACGCCCTCGTATGAGATTTGCGAAGCAGACCAGAAGACACATTTAAATCTCGGACAGGCTAAGTGGCGACCAAGCCATGCAGGCCAACTTCACCAGGCAACTGATGCGAGACGTTGCGCTTAAGTCTTGCGATCGATGTGTGAGGTTGCCTGCAAGCTTACTTGTGCACAGCAGAACAGCAGAACATGAAACGCTCCTGCAGTGAGACCCGCCTTAATGTCGACAGGTACGCAGGTCGAAAGCCTAAACGCCCCTCCAAGCAAGGGAACGATGGAGCGAATAAACTGCAGGGCAGGATTTCAGGATCTCGGGCATGCGGGCCAACAGGGCTCGCAGAAAATCCTTCGCGACAGGGCTGGTGCGCCCAACCGCGAGCAGCGCGTGCTGCGCTGCGACAGGGCCTTTGCTGTCTTTTCTGCGGCCCACGCCAAGGCATGTGACATAGACATTACTATTGGCTGCGCAGGTAGTCTGGGTCATCTGTCAGGTGATCTGCCAGGATTCGTTACAGGAATCGTGGCAGAGCTGCCTAGCTGGTTCTTGACTCCAGCGGCCTTGCTGTAAAGAGTCCGTACAAGCCTGGGGTTTGCGGCTGAGGCCATGAACCTTTGCCGTCTCGTCCAGGCCGGGGTCTGCCGAACGGATCCGTGAACCATTTCTGAGCGAACTCTGGCCCTCTCCTGCCTATCTGCGATCCGAATCTATCCTTCAGCTTCTCCGGGTCTTGTGTGCCGACCGTCAACGAGTCAACGCCCCAAGCCTTGTGTTTCACGTCGTGTGCGGTTCTTGGCCCTTTCTTTGGTTCTCTCAGGCGGCGAAGAAGTCGCCATGGCAGGCCGTGCGACGCAAGTTCATGAGGCCGGGAGGGGCATCTAGGCTCGGCTCGAGGTCTCGTCCCCAGACAAAAGCAGACGTTTGGTGCCATCGAATTCATCGAGGAACCATACTGCCAGTAACTGCAAAACGTGCTCTGCGTCTTGCCGAGTGTCGGCCAATACTGCCCTGGCCAGGTCACGGAATCCGGGAGTTTCGGCTTGCATAAGTGAGCTCGAGGAGTAGCTGCTCCACGTCCGCGCTGGACATTTAACACTCAAAGACTTACAAAGATCTAGCCTCATTCTCAAAGACTTTGAGTTCCAGTGGTGCCTCCTTGGAGCTTTACCTGCAGTCAAGCTCCATATTTGTGAGTGGACGCTGGCCTTCCTTACTCACCTGGGTAGCAGCACGTGGCAATGTGCGTCTAATTCGTGTGCACCATTCGTCCGCTCGGGCCACACCGCAGTCTGAGCTGTTACCCTCTACGTGCTTCCAGTCGGAGCAACAAGGCGCACATGTGATTACAAGGCAGCTTACGGACATGCAACTGCAGAGTGCTGGCAAGCTGCGACGTGGCCCCGGGGCGTCCTTATAGCCACCTAAGCCTAAGTTAACCAAGAGCAAGACCTCGCCATGCAAGCGCAGGCTCAGGCTGGAAGAACGGGATGCAGCCGACAATAGAGGGCCCGCGTAGGTCTGACACCGGCACAGACCCTGTCTTCTGCCAAGACCCAATACTTGGGCTGGACATCACGGCTATTGCTTTCAAGCTGTTGGCTGCTAGTGGCATGGAATGTGCCGAACTGTACCCTTAGGCCGCATGTGATGGTTGTAGGTGAACTTCACATGGCCTGCCACTTGCAAGGTAAAGGCAAGAGCGATGTCCAGAAAGAAAAACATTAAGTGTCAGCTCGATGCAAGTGTGCCGCAAAGGATTTGCACGAGGCATCAGTGCTTGAGCCTCTGTTCTTCTCCGTTCCTATGGATCTTAATGGGATCAATGAGTCAAGTTGTCGCTGCGAGCCCTAGAGAATATGAGAACTTTTTGTACTGATCGAAGCTGAGGGCCAGAAGGCTCTGCGGCCCCTTTGCAGCAACTTCGGCAGCTGTTCACTCGACCATCTGCGCATAATGTTGACAGATCGTCGTTTAGCTTAAGTGATCTTAGGTGGGATTATAGTGTCAGCGAGGCCAGCTGAGCCAGCCGATCCGATAGAGCACCAGCAAATGCTGCAAAACCTATCCCTTCGCTACAAACACTGGCATGAAGCCCAGAATGTTCGCAGGTTTACAAGGACTCAACTCCAAAATCTCATTCCGAAGTACCCTCGACTCTCGGCTGGTTCCCCAAGCGCCTTTCGCTGTTGGATTCCCAGTCCTCATGACGGTCCGCTGTGGGCGGTTGGGAGGCAAACAAAAAATGGTCAGAGTCCCAATACGTGTTCAAGTTGCGCAAGGTCTTGTGATACGTGCAGTCCTCTAAACATGTACTCTAAGCCTAGCTGCTACAGTATTCACCAAAGCAGCACCATGCAAGTCGCAGCTGTGGCTTGGGTTCGTGCGTTTTGAGCAGTAGTAGCAGTAGTAGCAGTAGTAGATATATAGCAATGGTATAGTTGTAGTTGCAGTTGCAGTTGTAGGTGTTAGATGATCGTTTTTAGTTGTTTGTTACTAGCTGTTAGTTGTTAATTGTGTTCCTTTTCTTGCTCTTGTTCTTGTTCTTGTTATTGTATTTCTTGTTATTCTTACTGTTCTTGCTTTTGTTATTGTTATTGTTTTTGCTGTTGCTTTTGTTTGTGTCCTCGTTCTTGTTGTTGTGCTCGTTCTTGTTCTTGTTCTTGTTCTTGTTCTTGCCGTGGTCGTGGTTGTTGGTTGTTGCCTGTTTGCAGGTTACTGTTGTTGTGTTTGGCGTTGGCGTTGTCCTTGTCCTTGTCCTTGAAGTTATCAATCTAGCCTGCATGGTGCTTAGAAATTATGTAGGAAAGGGAATCTACACGTCGGAGTTGGGACCTCGGCTCTAATGAGGATGGGTATAGCCTCAAGGCTTGAAGACACGACGCCTCTCAGCGGGGGTACCCTGCAGACAGACCCTTGAAGACTGCGACGGTGACGGTTTAATTAGTAGAGTCCGAGGCTGCAATGCCTCAAAGTGCCAGCCTTCACAGATCTACCTGTTCGTCAACTTTCAACTGGTGTCCGCTGGACGTCGTGAAAGCTGCCGGAGCTTTGTATGCGTCACTGACACTGGGTTCACAGAACCAGCTGCGCGCGAGACAGGCACCGGTGTGGCCTCGCACCCACTACTGTAGCAGCGCACTCTGAGCCTCACCGGCTCAGAACACCAGGCGTCCTTCCTGTCTAGCAGTACTCGCGGCAAGACCAGGGGCAACGTCTGCGGCGGGAAAAACTGCTTGTGCGGGTGCTGGCTCGCTAATCCTCAGCTGCGCACCTCATTCTCGAATTGTTCGTTATTGGTTTCCTTGTGTTCGGGTGCTGACTGCTTGTCAGCAGAAGACATCTGGACGGCTGCTGCAAAAAGTAGCAGCAGCACTGGAAATCTCGTCAGCCCTGCCAGCTAAGCAAAGAAGCATCGTTCCACAGTCAAAAACAAAAGGCCGTCAATGGTTCTGGATAGCTGAAGCACCGAGCGAGGAGAAGCGGCGGTTGCTTTCCCTGGAGCGCCGTCAGCGCAGCAACCTTGAGAAGGAGGCGCCTGGCCAAGCCCCGGTGACATCGGCTGTCTTCATTGCATGCGGGGCTGGAAACCCGCCCTCTCATTAACATTAACTACGTTTAGATTTGATCCTGCCACAAGAAGTTTCATGTGCTTCAAAGAGGTGGAAAGCCTGCGATCGCAAGTAGCGCTGCTGATGCAGCGAGGCTGGGTCTCAGAAGCGGCCTCTGTGTTTCTCTTTTCTAGTTCTGGTGAGTCCGAAAAAACAGTACTTGGAAGTGAGGAACTGGCCGAGGAGGATGAGTGTAACGATGGCAAGTTTCTCTTGTAAGAAGCGCGCGCTTGTAAAACATTGGGGATTGGGAGCGGGGTAGAGGGAGAATGTAGGGACCATCGTTACTTCTGGACATGCAGGCATCGCCCACAAACCTGTGCCGAAGCTCGTCAGTGACATTGGCCCAGCCTTCAAATTCTACACGCCCAACAGAGGCCCAGCCCCGGGCATCGCCGCAGCTGCGGCATTGGCTGTGGTCGGGGCCCTCGAACTGAGCACGGCAGAGCATGCGCGGCAGAGCTGTGTTCCAAGCACTGTAACTAGTATCCCTATGTGGGATGCAACACCATGAATGCATGCGAGACTGAGACAATTGGGCGACCTTCAGCATTGCAGGCATATACACACACACACAGTGTTCGATCCCCAAGCCTCAGAACCTGTCGGAACTGTCAGGACATTCAGGACCCGTAAGCATCTGTAAGCATTTGGAGCCACAGGGCCCGAAGAAGCTCACCCGCTCGGCGCTGACAGCTGCCGGGGCTGAGGCTGGTGCCATGTCTGCTTCTTCCCACACTTCAGGTTTCTCAAAGATGATGTAGGTGTAGAGTCAACTTCTGATGATCCCATGATGACCCAGGTATTCTGGGCAGCACTCTGCCCTAGAAAGCATAGAACTTGGAGGGTCCGGTGGTTGGCTTCAGCAGTCGTGGTTTCCTCGATGGATACTAAGTTAAGACATGTTGAGAGCAGGGGCTCGCAGGGTTATTAGATGACCAGATGCATACTCAGCTCAAACAACGTTTTGCCAGCCAGTTTGGAGGTGCGGTTTCTTGTGGCTGCAAGGATGATCAAGACACAACCGAGCTCTGTCGCCTCAGGAATCTAATAGTAGGCAGCTGCAGCCATCATGCCATCCACTGTGTCGCTGCTGCGCGTAAGTTTGTTCATCGCGGCTTTGCAAGCCATAGTGAACGGTGTGGTATTGCATGTCCTGGCAGTATATTTAATTTTCGAAAGCTATCGAGTTTGCGCGCTCAAGCCATGGCGACTGCGCCCTGACATTATGGACGCTTGGCTCCTGCATGCAAGTGGCTGCGGCCTCTCGTAGCTGGTCCAGTCCATATTCCTGCTGTTTGATTACAGTGTGTGCATTCGTTGCTTTGATCAAGACATCTGGGAGCTGGGAGCTGTCGGGCCATTGTCAGGTTTGTTCGGATTTGACAGGCTTTTGTATGGTCTGTAGGCATTTCCAGTCTCAGTGTAATCTGAGGAGGACAGTTTTCCCATCCGTCTGGTGGAGCTTCGGCCAGCAACTCTGTGTCTGCAGTGATCCTTGCACTGCGGGTCAAGCGCTGTCTGGCCTTACCTTGCGACATTCAGGTTTGTACTTTTAAAAGACAAAGGGACACACCGGCGTTGCGTAAGACGGCAAGTGCTAGCAAAGTTCTCGATGTAGGCCCTGATGCTTCCCGAAAAGTTCTTGACTCTTCCGTTGCTTATCCTCCTGTATCCCATCATGCAGCCTGATCCGGCGCAGATCACAGTCAATCCTGCAGAAGCTCAGAAAGAAGATGCATGGGGAGCATTTTTGTGAGCTTAGAGCTTAGGAGACACCCAGCGGGAGGGGCCTCGTTGCCAGCCGCGATATTGCGAAGGGTGAGGCGGCAAGTGTGTGCGAGTGTGGGGACCTGCAACACGAATAGGGCTTCATAGGGCTTCATAGGATGAAGCTTGCAGCTTGGAAAGCTGCGAACTTGCTGAATGCCGAGCGTTGTGGGATCGTGGTGGAGGTTGCCCTCTGCCACGGTGCCAGGGTGACCAAAACCCCTGTTGTCACATGAGATCAAGTCCCAGTGCCGAAAGTGTCGGGACCATAATCTCCAGGTTGTCTTCCGCTGCGCGCCTGTGGCGGCTGTGCTCCACGACTGGGCGCTGGCAAAGCACTGCAGGCTCGGACATGGGCATGCAGCATAGGTGTCTGTTGAGAAAGTGAAACACGCCAACGGTACATGCAACACACACACACACAGAATGAATTGACTGGTTGTAGCTGTATACCTGCGTATGTACATCTAGTTACATATGCATAAATGCCATGCGCCAAATTTAAAAGAAGACTGAGACGTGGACATGTCATGTGTTTATGGGCCTACATATCAAAATGTATGTTGACAGTTAACTCAAGTTTGTTTTGTCATTGGTTGCACGTATATGCTGTTGTGTTTAGTGTTCCTTTTTAAGTCGATATCTCCACTGATATACTCAAATGTACACGTGTACATAAACAAATGG